CCGGTCGCCAAACCAGAAATAGGAGCCAGGAGTCCCCACTCCCACCGCACATTCCCAGCCTGGTGCTGGGAAGAGGATCCGGGAGCCCTGGCTCCCCTTTCCCCCCCATCACCCCAACCATTTGACACATTTCCTGTCTCTAATTAAATGCACACCACACCTTTCTGCTTAATTTCCATGTATTTATTTCCAAGGCAGGAACAATAAATAGTCATTCTCGTTGTGAAATCCACCCCAAGGTGAGAGGAGACAGAGGGTGGCCTGTGGCCGAGCCGTGGTGTCGGCGCTGCCGCGCTGGTCGCTGGCCCGGGAGGACTTGCCACCCTGGCCTCGGGTTTTATCACGTTCCTCTGGGGTTTGGTTTGGTTTTAGACATCTTTCTATGCTTTTTTTTTTTTTTCATTTCCCCCGCAGCACAGAGCCTCGCACGGTGCCGGAGGTGCCACTGAGGTGTCTGCACCCTCTCCTTTTTTGGGGTCTCCATCCCCATCACCCCTCCGGGGCTGCCCACCGGCTCCTCCAGGATACAGAGCCCAGCGGGAATGGCCCGGGTGGCAGAGCAAAGGTGGGATAACCAGGCTCAGCGGGTGCCCTGCACCCTCCCAAGCCCATTTCTTCACCCTCTGTGCGCTCAGTGCCTGAGCAAATTGCTCCATCCCAGTGCGCGCCCATTTTGGGGCATTTACTGTTTTCTAATTTGCTGTAATTACACCGAAATCCCACTCTCTCCCAGCACAGGTGGGATCTCGCTGCTGGCCTCGCAGCTCTTGGGTCTTTCCGAGCTCAAGATTTTGGGGTCTTCTCTAAGCTCCCTCCAGCCCAGCACAGAGCCACAGGATCAAAGCTCTCGGGGTGCCTGGTCCAGAGACATGGCCCTGGCCCTGCTTGTGGGGTCCCCGCAATGGGGATCGCTGGGCACGAGCCACCCTGGGAACCGGGCACACGCACAACCCCACGCACACCCTCGGCACCGTGCACACCTTCGGTGCCACGCGTACACAGAGTGCCGTGCACACCCAGAGCCCTGTGCACACCCGCGATGCCCACAGCTCCACGGCACCATGGCCATCGCAGCATCACGCACACCCACAGCATCGTGCACGCTTGTTGCATCCCCTGCATGCCCACAGCACCCCTTGCACGTCTGCAGCACCCCTTGCACGTCTGCAGCATCCTTTGCACCCTCATGCTCTGCTCCGGGGCCAGCGGAGCTGTGCAACCCAGTACGGAGCGATGCTCAGAGCCGCGATTGCTGCAGCCCTGTCCCTCCCTGTCCCCCATTTCCCTCTCCCACAAAGGACAAATGAGGTCATCTCATCCCAGCTGGTTTTTTTCCGATGTTTTCCTTTATTAATTTATACAAAAATGGTTGCAAGTGACGCAAGCTGATAACAACCCGCCACCATCCCAGCCCCGAGCCCAGCCGCCAGCCAAGGGCCAGCATCCCTGGAGAGGGGTTGGGGGAGCACCGTGCAGGCGTCACACCTCGGCATAGCACCCCAAAACCTGGGCAGGCACAGGGCACCGCAGTCCCTGCACCGGGGGAAGAGCAGGGAATGCAGCCAGGCCATGCACAGCAACGTTGGTGCTGGCCCGGAGCCCAGGATGCCCCCGAAGGTGCCCAAAGCACCAGGCAGAACT